TAGGTATGGGTGTGGGTGTGTGGGTGTAGGTATGGGTGTGGGTGTGTAGGTATGGGTGTGGGTGTGTGGGTGTAGGTATGGGTGTGGGTGCTGGTGTCGGTGTCAGTGTTAGTCATCGTTTTGTCTCACACCCACCCACACCTACACCCTAGGAAACTTGATTATTGAACGTTTCTTGAAAGGAGTTCAGGACAGACATAAATTGTGAACCCATAGGAATTCGCCAAACGGCGAGTGGGCATCTTTGGCTACAAGTATCCAGTGGAATTGCAAGGCCATGATTGGGCCCTGTGAAGCCGATCATGTTATTTACCATTGATCGCACATCCGGTTAGAATCGCAATGCCCATCGAGGGTTCATTTCGCCCTGTGAGTGGCCAAGCATGTTGATACGATGAAGATTCCCGCGTTGGTACATGGTTCGAATGGCATAGACGATGTACTCGCCCAAACGTTGAATATCGTCGAAACCAGAATCCGACCAATCGATAAGGCAGTAGGATCAGTTTAGTTTGTCTAATTAAATCATCCATCCAATACTATATTGCACGGCTGCTTTCTCAACACCCGTATCAGGTACAAGTAGAATTGGCCCAGCATCGCTGGGTGTCGCAGCAGTTAGATCACCGACACATGTTAAGCTTTTAGATAACGGCTCTGAAGATACAGATAGTCTTGGACCTGGCCAATCAACTGGTGTAAAAAATAGGTTAGAACAATTTGATGCAGCACCCATCAACGCAGTTGTGTATAAGAGTAATATTACAAATAACAAGATTGTCGGTGTGGGTGGATGTGGATGTGGATGTGAGTGAATCTATTTGGGATTGTTTTCTTCTACATATACACCCCACATCCACCCCCACACCTCTCGCACGCACACACTCACACCCAAGTAAACTAAACAATCTATAGATGATGCATTTGTGTTATAATTAGTAATCCTCAGTACTTCGTAGGGAATTGACTATAGTGGTTATAGTAGTTCATCAACGTGAGTCGGTACTGACAAAACTCATAGACACTTATGATTCCTTCAATTTCTAAAATTCTCACGTCCAGCTGAGTTAATGTAGAAAATGGGCTCAAAAAAAGCGAAAAGTTTTCGTTGTTTCCCCGGTCCAACAATATCGGACGATGTAACACAGTTATTTAATTCCTAATCGACTTTGTCCTAGGCTCCCGCAACAAGCTATATCACTTTACAGCTTACTTCATTGCCCCATGGGTTAATATGGAAAAGAATGATGCACACTCCTTGGTTAGAAAAATAGTCATTTCACCGTACATACACACACTCGCACCTTTACACAGTGATGTATATGGCTAAAATCCATGTGTGTGGGCTAAAGGATGCGAGCGATGAAAACAGAACTGATAAATGTTTGCGCTTCTCTCGTCCTCTCTTACACCGTGTTCGTGCAGAAACGAAAGAAACATCGAGCCCGAAAAATGTATTGCTCACGTTTCGAGCCAAAGATGAAATCGAATTGTTTCATTGAGAATCATATTGGTAGAGTATCGACTGGTCTTTGTGTTCTACTCGTGTCTTCATCGCACATTTTGTCATCAGATTCCAGTTGCTGCATGCGTAGACACTCTAAGGTACTTTACCTGCTTCGTTTTAGTTGTGAAACTTTCTTGATAAATAGTCAACCTCTGGGAGCATCTTATTAGCTTTCATTTTGTCAATATTTTTCAAAAAAAACACGTGGAAAACTGATTATCCTACATCAAAACCGCGTACAGTACACCCTACCAGATTTAGTTGGGGCAAGACCTAGCCAAATCTGTGTAAAACTTAGGTGTTACCAAGCCTAGCCGTTCCATTGCCTATGCCAAACAGTATTCCCATTTTGGCAGTATGGCTTGTCTAAGTCGGTCTTCAGAACTATATTACTGTTGTTCAAATCCAGACATTCAGATCCGTCACATTTGCAGAACACATGGATCATCGGTATTCACAGATCAATCTTCTGTTTAAATTGTTGAGTTCTCTGGGAAACTATTGGGTTTTAACAGAAGTTCTGAGAATTTAGAATATTCTTTCAAAAATCACGTCATTTTTCCTGATATTTCGTCATGACTTGAATAATATGAGTCAGGTATTGAATTCCATATGGAAAGTTTAATCAAGGTCAATATCAAGTCTATTGACTTAAGAGAATATAAATAACGAAGATAGTGTTTACTTGTTGTAAATAAAATGGATGACCGAAAAATTCATATTCGTCATTGTATACTGTACAAGCTTAATCGAGGGTCAATGACAGCGGTAGCAACAAGAAATATTTGTACTGCATACGGAGAGGGAGCCAACGACGATTCCACGTGATACCATTAGTTCGCCAAGTTTCGTTTCGGTGATACCACCTTGATGGATAAAGCTTTCTCACAGCGACCTGTGGAGTTTGCCGACGAAGCGTCGGAGACTTTGCTCCATGCTAATCCACGTCAAACAACCAGCGAATTGGCCGCGCAATTCAACTGTTCTCATATGACAGTGGATCGTCATTTTCACGCTCTAGGAAAGGTCAATAAGTACGCAGATTTGGTTTCACGGCAATTGTCCACTAACAACTTGGCTCAGCGAGTATCGACTTGTGCTTCGTTGTTGTCCCGACAGAACCATGATCCATTTTTGGGACGAATCATTACTGGATACGAACAATAGGTCTGCTACGTCTACTTTCGTCGTAGAAAGCAGTGGCTCGATCCTGGCCAGAAACCATTATCGGACGTAAAAGCAGATTTACACTCAAAGAAGATAATGTTGTGCGCTTGGTGGGATATGAAGGGTGTCATCTATTTCGAATTCTTAGATAACAATCAAACGGCTATCGTCGATGTTTACTCTCAGCAGTTACAGCCCTTTCATGAAGCTCTACTTCAAACGTGACCGGTCTTCGCAAATCGGAATAACGTCATTCTCCTGTACGACAATGGAAGACCACATGTTGCAAAGTTGACTCAAAATAAAATTAGGCAATTGGGATAGGAAGTTCTTGCGCACGCACCGTGCTCATTAGATCTTGCACCATCGGATTATCATTTGGTTCGGTCTCTTCGAAGCCATTCGTGCGACAAACAATAGGAAGGCTTCCATGAGAACAAATTCCACCACACATTCTTTTTCGAATCACAACCTGCTAGTTTCGACAACCATGGGATTGAACAATTGCCAGCAAGATAGACGAAGGTTGTCGAAAATAATGGCGATTATATTGTTGATTGATAATGCATATCCTTGTCACAAAATAAGTTTGTTGCTGAACAGAAAAATATTCTCAGAACTTATGTTACAATCCAATATATTGTAATAGTGGTTTTAAAAATTTGCATCTACAGGTCGTTCAGTTTATTTTGAAACGATTTGCATGCAGCTATTCTTCGTTATTAACTAATACAGATCTCATGTTTCTCATATCAATTTATACACCTAACACTGTAGATGCTGTCATGATATTTATATTTTAGATAAACGAATGCCTCGTAATAAAATATCTGATAATATCGAAGAGATCGTCAAATATCCTTTGACGAAAAAGTATTCATATTCTGTGATATAACAAGAATTATCTGAAATGAATCTTAATATGTCAAAAAGTACTATTAGTCGTATTGCTAACAAGCTTGGAAAACAGCGCCAGTTAGGATTATTAAATAGTCAAAAACCAAAATTTTATCGTCGACGTCATGTAGCAACACCTGCAGTCGTACGTCGTATTACGTCATATATAAGTAAAAAATATCCTCCAACAATCTTGTTAATGGCTGCAAGATGTAATATTAGTGTTGGTACTGCTGTTAGTATTATTCATGATATTATTCATGCAAAATGTCGTAAAAAAAGGCCGGTGCATCGTTTATATCCAGGTGTCATTGAAAAGAGTCGATCTCGAGCTCGGCGTATGTATCGGCGATTATCCAATGAAAAATATAAAAATGATGTGACTACTGACGAAGCATGGTTTTAACTCGACGCCAGCCAAGGTGTTAGAAATATGTATTTTGTCAGAAGTGATGGATTAGCAGAAGAAGTTAAAAAAATCGAACGAAATGAATTACGTCCTGTGGCTTTGTTGGTTTGGGCCGGTGTGAGCACACATGGTGAAACTCAGTTACATTTTGTTGAGCATGGTTCAAGAATTACTAGCCGATATTATATTGAACATATAATAGAACCATTTGTTAATTATGATATTCCTCGTTTATTTTCTGGTGATACACACAAGAAAATGAGTCTTCATCAAGACAGTGCACCAGGTCATGCAGCCAAAGGAACACTTAGTTATATGAAAGAAAAGAAAATTCAAGTCATAACATCTACAGAGTGATTAGCTAAGAATCCAGACGCTGCTCCAATGGACTATTCGATTTTGGGTATTTTAAAAGAACGGGTAAGAAAACACAAAGTGTCAACGTTAAATGAGTTGAAAAATGCTATCAAACACGAGTGGGCAAATCTTGAACAGAGTGTAATCGACTATGCTTTGGAGAATTGGCCAAAGTGTTGTAGATTAGTTTACTATGCTCGTGGATCACATATCGAACATCTATTACAATAAATGTATGAAAATAAAAGAATAAAAAGTTTTCTATTTTATTTCAAAATAAACTGAATGGTCTGTATACCGACTGTAGGCCATATTGACTGTGCTTGATACGAGAAAAAAGCACTTGTATGCTTGGCGCGCATGAAATCAAAATTGCAAATTGAAGTAATCTGATATGGGAGCTTTGGGACACTGTGGAATGAGAAAGAAACATAATAATCATTTGATCGAATAGCAATGCTGTTGCTGCCTTTCATCTTTTTTCTTTACCGTTGTTCGCTTTTGACTGCTGGTTATACCAAGATTAGTCCCGATGATCCTGGTTCTCTACAATCAGCTATTCTTGCAGCGAATCAACAACAAGGCCTCGATTATGTCATAATACCACCGGGCATCTATCGCATCTCACCTGTATCCGATCAACGTGCCAGTCTTCAGTTTGCCAATTTGAAAAACCTAACAATTAATGCTAAAGATGCAACTCTGCTCATGATGGATAATACGAAAGCAGGCGTATACTTTGCTAATTGTTACAATGTGACTTTGCGCGGATCAGTGACTATTCGCAATGCCATCATCCCGTTCACCCAAGATTACATTGAATCGATAGATGGAAACTCACTTGTGATCAAAATTCATGATGGTTATCCGACAACACTCGACGATCCATTGGCTTTTCATGTGGCGACAACCTATTACGTTTTTGATCGAACTACACGACGATTGAAAGACAATACATACGATTATTACAGTACGAATGTCACTCGTCTCGATGCTAGTCGATTTCGTGTCTTGTTCGGTTCTATTTTTGGAAAAGAAGTGTCTGTAGGCGATTTATTTTCGATGCGAAGTGGTATAGGTGGTACGGCAATGCACAGTGACAATTGTGAACGAATGCAGTTCACCGACGTCAATATTGAATATGCTGGTGGATTAGCTTGGTTCGAAACGGGTGGAGCAGGCAATCATCGTTACGAGCGAATCACTGCTCGAACGGGTTCGAAACCGATAGGTGCCACAGAAAATCCATTGATGAGTGCCAATGCCGACGGATTTCATTCAGCAGGTGTACACCGTGGACCGACTATTATAGATTCTCTTTTTACACGGATGCCTGACGATTAGACATGTTAGCCGATCTTTCAATCGGCGGCGGCGGCGAAAAACTTTCAAAGTATCGGCAGCGGCGGCGAACAAATCACGCCGAGGAAGGCATCTTCGGCGGCGGCGGTGAAATTTTTCGAAAGTCATTTTACCAAGTCTTTTGTTGATTCCAACCTTTGTTACAAACATTACACTTTCTGTTTTCATAGAAACATATCATTATCTCCCTTTTCGCACATGGGTCTCTTTTTATATTAAAAACCTTTCGCTATACTTCAATTTATTGTCATCAATTCAAGAAGTTGTTTCTGTATTAATGATGATGACAACAGGACATCAGGATGCTCGACGAGTTGTTTGTCATGGAACGCTTTCCAATAAATATTCTTGTTATCAATCACTTCTTTCGTCACTGATGATGTAAGATGACCGAAATGTGACCACGCAAGAGATTGACTGGCCTTGAAAGGACGGGGTTTGACGTGAACATCTCGAACATAATGCGTCATCCTAGCGGATAGGTATGTATTTCTTCGCTTGTTAGATATAATACAATGATAGCAATAACGTTATTCGTGTGAAGGGAAATGTAATGCGAAGCGTCTATTTATACCCTTTTGACCATATTGTTCTGACTCCAAACTTGATCGGCGGCGGCGACGGTGAAAAGTCGGCGGCTAACATGCCTACTGACGATGGTATTGCTGTGCACGAAGAATATCAGATGGTGCGGCAAGTGAGTAAATTCTCTGTGACATGTATGCGATTGTGGTCGGGTGCACCATATGCAATAGGAGATCATGTAGCTGTGGTCGCCGAAGATCGTGTGCCTCGAGGTGAAGCTCAAGTTCTTCGTGTTCAACTCTTGCCCGATAACTTTCTCCCACCAATCAGCACACCTTGGCCCAACTTTCAAAACAATCGTTCCTATTTCGAACTTGAGCTTGACACGAACTTGAACGGGACAATACGTCCTAACGATGTCATCTCAAACATCGACTATACCGGATCAGGCTATTCGTTGGTGGGCAACACTATTCGGGATCATCGAACTCGCGGTATGTTACTCAAAGCGCGTGATGGGCACGTCGAATCGAATTTAATCGATGGCAGTTCAATTGCAGATCTGGTCATGCAACCTGAATTATGGTGGGGCGAAGGAAACTATGCTGAACATGTAGTCATTCGAAATAATACTCTGCCCAAATGTGGCGATGCAACGACTGGTGGATGGAGTGAGCAGGCAGGTGTGCTCACAGTTCGTGGAACAGGTACATCTTCGATTGTCTATGGACACGATACGCTCACCATTGAGAACAATGTATTTTTGGACAATGATGGCGTACAAATGGTATTAGACGGATTGAAAAATACGGTGATCAGAAAAAATTGGTTTGTGAACGCACAATATAAGGTGAATGATGGAGGAGCGGATCACGGCTATGATGGTGAAGCACTGGTTCATATCAACCGAGCTCATTCTCTCAGACTCGAAGGCAATCGAGCGTGGAACGTGGGTCCAGCTCATAAACGAAATCTACAGATCACTCCGTTAGCCACACAAGTCGTGGGTGTTCTTGATGGGATCATCGTTGAGATCTAGATAATGAGATCGAATACAACATGAATTGAAAACAAAGACAGTTATTTTCGAATAATGAACGTTTCTCGATGTAAACGATTCGCCTTGGAAAAATAGGGGTGCGAATGTGGGTGTGCGTGTGAGGTGTGGGTGTGGGTGTTGGTGTCGGTGTGGGTGTGGGATGTGGGTGGGGTGTGGATGTGTGATGTGGGTGTGGGGTGTGGGTGTGGGCGTGTGAGTGTGGATGTGTATTGAATGAAGAGAAAAACCACACCTACCCACACCCATATTTTACACCCCCACCCACACGTGCACCCACCCCCACCCCACCCTCACCCCCACACCACACTTCAAACCCACACCCACACCCGTACCCATACTCATACCCATATCCTACACCCACATCCCACACCCAAACCCGTACCCGCTGTGCCAATAAGCATATTATCTTATATGATATCTTCTCTTTCTCAGTGTGCTCTTGTAAAATCAATGATATGTTGCGTTCTTAATCGCGTTACTCTTACGTTTATCTCTTTATGATGGAACTTTGTTCCTGTCTGTCGTAATGCGCTTCTCATTCAATAATATATATCTGTTCTCTCCTTGTCATCATTACTTGTTCATTCGTACATTGTTGTATCTTTGGCCTCATCATCTGTCTTCGCATCATTTCCTATTCTACTCGTACATACAAACGTGTCATTCATATGTAAACGATATGATGGTATGATGTGCCAAGAAGCACGTCATCTTTGCTAATTATGCTAATGGTTATTACGTCATACGACACTAACATATCTTCTCAATGCCACTGGATCATCAAGAGTGACATAAGAAGATGGATGTACTTTCTACAACAACCGTTAATTGATCATATGATGCGTAATATTCTGTTATATCTTTCCTCTTTCCTTTCTCCTTTTTGTATTGTATCATTTATTCTCTCTCCTCTCTTCCATCCTTCTCCTATATAAGCTCATGTTGTGTATTAGATTGTTACATTTGGATGTAGAGCATAGTCGAATAAACATCATGCCCATCACTATGGGATCAAAGACATAAATATGCCTCTCCATTTGTCATTAATGATAGTGGAATGCACTAGTAGCTCATTAACATCAATGCCCAACCAGTGGTAGAGCTGTATTTCCATTTTTCGTTACACCCGCACCCTACACCCACACCCACACCCTCAAGAAGGAAAGCCACAACCAGTATAACGACCAACATGATGATTTTTTTATGTTCGCATCACAATGAATAAATAAGGTAGATAGAAGATTCGGATTGATATTCAACGATGTGAATGCTGAATCATTCATGTCTGTAATGCTTGTTTTGATTGATACTTTTTTCATTGATAGGGATCTGATACTTCAAGAAGACTTTATTCGTCAGACATTCATAAATTGATAGTAATCTTATAATTAAAAGCCCGGAATAGTAACAAGAAGCATTTTGTTTCTCGTTTTCTTCAAAATTGATGAAATAAACGTTTACCTATTATCTATGACATAAATAGAAAGTTATTCATTTCGCTAAAATAAAGAAACAGAAACAGAATAGATTGTGGGTGTTGTTTTTCGTTGTATCTACTTGCAGACACCCACACCCACACCCAACCCTTCCGCTACTTTTATGGTTTTGGAGAGATCATCTCACCTTTTTTTGATCGCTATCTATATGTCGGTGTCTGCTTTTTTTGTGTAGCTTTGCATGCCTGTTTATAGCTAGAGACTGAGGTCTTAGCCATTGTATTCGTGTGTATTGCGTGATGACCATAGCGTGCAGGAATCCCGTAACGCCCTCAGTTATGCTCCTAGAGTTCTAAAATCAGTGGTTATGTCGGTAGAAGAAGATTGTAGATTAAGTGGGAACCTCTTTAATGGTGATGAACTTTTGAGAGGAGAAGGACAAGCTAAGTCATATCCAAGCCTAAATGATTAAGGTGAGTTAAGCTCAGTCTCTTTCCTTTAACGCTTTCGCCACAATTTAATCCTGCAGAGTTCCTGAAAAGTTGTCTCGAGAGATTACAGGTCAAACGGAAAGAGGTATTAAAGGGAGTTTTATATGAAGCGAAAGCTTTTTGAGAACCTGGTTTAGGAGTATAACTGATACTTCATAGGATGCAAATGGACTACAGAATGAAGAAAAAGTTTCAAAATTCCAGAAGTGTGATTGGGTAGCTTTAAGGATGCTTACCCACAGAAAGTTAAGGTCCTTACATAACTTATTTAGTCTATCAGATTTTGTGGAACTACATATACTGGTCATCTTGGTATAGAAAGTTTATTAAACAAATACAAGATGATGCTAGAGTAAAGATCCTGCAAAATGTTATAGCGCCACCGACGGATCTATTTTACATTTGTAATTGTGTTAATCCAAACAATGTCATTTGTTACTAAAATGTAATTTTTTTCTTTCAAAATCATCACCACAAATATCTTTAGAAACTCCGACTGATGAAGAAATTTTTTGAGAATGTCTTGTTTTTATGACCAACTAATCACTGTACGTCACTATACGAGCCACTGATGGTTCGCATCACCACGAACGGCTTAATCATAGTTGCTTGTGTTTGCTCGAGTAATGCACCTGAATTGGTCATTAGATTCATCATATTTTCCTTCTAACTTCGATTTAGTTTTCATGTTCTATTAGTGCTACATTGTATTTATGGGCTTATGTATCTACGTAGAAATCCTTTAACACTTGAATGTTGACTTTTGCTCTTGTTCATATATATGCATGTCGTTGCGTGGTAGACTAAATGCACACACTGCTGTTAAAAAAACAACTACTATTAAGAATTCTCACTTCTCGAGTAATTCAAGTGGAATCGTTAGATGCGTGACTTCAGACAGAGTTTCATATGCGATCTTGTATGATCATCTATGATTCATATTCTCTGAATCATACATATTTTCTTGATGACAGAACTTATATGATCGTGTCTGACCAGGTCGGTGACAGAGTACCTGTCCTTATACGTTTCGTACGGTATAATTCTTGCAAGATTTTTGCTGGTATCTTTCACTCAGATTCTGGCAAAATCTTACAAAAGGTCAGGTTATACGGCATTGTCGGATCCTATGATAAGATCGTATAAAAAATGTTGTGTGTGCAAGATTTGATAAGATCTTTTAAGATCTACCATCAGATTTTTTCACCTGGGCGAGCTATCTAAGTCGTTTTATATTTATTGTCCATCACCGAAAAATTAGAATTCTACTACATTAAACCATCTCTACGAACATTGCAAGTGAATAGATGACAAGGCAAAAATAGAAATTATTGAATTTGAAGAATATTAAAAGCTCAGTTCAACCAAAGCCAATACTAAATCATGTCTATGGACTGCAAACGTGACTTAGATTGAATTCCGTCTCACGGCCGATCACAACTGCCCAAGCATCGAGAAGTGTATCTGCTG